AAAAGTATCCAATGTACTCAGCCCTACTATGCAACTAATTTATAGCTTTCTTATGAAAGCTATCACTCAATTATAGCCCAAGAAGAAGGGGGAAAGGGAAGAGGGAGGGAAGGAGAGGGGAGGGGAGGGGAGAGAATGGGTGGAGAGAGGGTGATTGGTGGGACCACACCTATGGTGCATCCTATAAGGGTACATGTGAAACGTACTAAATGTAGAATATAAGTGTCTTAACACAATAACTAAGAAAATGCCATGAAGGCTATGTTAACCAGTTTGATGAAAATATTTCAAATTGTGTATAAAACCAGCACATTGTATCCCATGACTGCATTAATGTACACAGCTATGATTTAATTTTAAAAAGATTTACTCAAGGCAGATGTAGCATATTGATAAAACTAAATTCCATAGTCCCATAGAATTCTAATAGAAGACATAAGAAAACTGAGAAGTGAAGCTTCAGGCTTCACAGATTCCTATGCTTTGTTCCTGCAAGAGTGGCAGGAACCTCTAAAATGCTTAGTCAATCCACATTTTAAAATTTTGCTAATTTCATGAATTAGATTTTACTTTTAATATTTATTATCCTTTCTAAAGTTGCTCTGTGCATTTATTATTAGCTATTATTAATGCAGAAAGAGGACAAAAAGCCCACAGACACTACACAATTTCACAAGACACATTTCAGGGGGGAAAAAGTAACTGAGATGGATCAACAGTGTCCTAGGAGCTTGGAGGATGCATTCCTGGGATGGGTGGACCTCTAATTTCTCATGGAGGGGGTCTCATTCCTGGAGGGGGCATGTGAGCTGGGGGAAGCCCGATTAGTGGGCCCCTGGGAGTCATTAATACCTCTGTCTACAAGTGGGAGTGGGGCCCTCCATCCTGGTGGGTACTGCATGGGGGTACTCCATATTGACAGTGGCACTCCAGTGCCTTTCCCCTATGGGGTCATTACCTGCTGGGATGGTTCCCTAACTTCTTGGACCAGGACTGCTAATTCAGCAGGAGCCTGTGGAATCAGGATACAAGCTCCTCTGCCAGCTTCCCTACCAACTCCAAGGCCTCCTGCAGCTCCAGCAAGTGATACCCAAGCAATGCCAGTATGTTTGGGGAGGGGTAAGACCTCCACAGTCATGGATATCAATTTCTTTCCATGCAACAACACTGGACCCAAAACCCACTTTTCTTCACTTTTTTTTTTCTTGGCTGCTTCACATTCTTTCGCTTGATCTTTCTGAACTCATCACAATCACAGAGGATCAAGTTCATACACCTGTCAAAAGCCCTAAAGGCTCCAGTGAAGACTGGGGCATTTTGCAGGATACATCTTGTTCTATAGTCAATGTGTGGCAGCATCTTGCTATTTGTGCCTGCAGTCACAATTACCCCAAATCTGATGTCTACAGTAAATTTTGTGATCTTTAAGACCTAAGGGAAGTCTATAGGTAAGGGTACAATGCAGGTGTGGCCACACGGTGTGGCCTTAGGTCACAGAAGAGCTACAAGATATTTGAAACTATTGGAATTTGAAGTACAGGGACAGGAGGCTAGAAGGAAAGAAGAAATCAATCATAACAGGCCTTGTTAAAAATCTGAAGTTGGCCCAGAAAAAAATCACTAAAAAGCATGAATTAGAAGAGTGATATGGAGTGGATCTTAGAGAATGTACAATGGTTGAAATAAAATGAAAAATAGATGGTGCTAGGGACAAGTGAACCAAGACTGTAGTCAGGGAGACCCAGGTAGGAAACTATCCTAAACATTTAGGTCAGAAGTGGTGAAGGTTAAAGGAGGGATTTTAGTGCGATAGGAGAACACCAGGCTGAAGGAAGAATGAAGGGTAGTGAAGAAAATCTAAGAAAGGGTAGCGAAGAAAATCTAAGAGACAGAATAATTGGGTGGAGCATGGTCAGAGGAGCTAGAGCTGAAATAAAAGAATTAAATTTGACTTAACTCATCCTCTGAAATCAGCAGAACGGAGATAAAAGAGAGCAGATAGGACCTTGGGTCAGGAAGTAATGTCATGTAAGAGTTCATGGGGGTTCGAAGAGAGATATTAGCTTATAGGAAAGGAGATTTAAATTAGTTTAGAGTAAAGAAAGTTATGATTCGACTGGTTTGAATTTTACAAGCTGTGAGGCATACAAAAACAAAAGTCAGATTTTATAACTGTGAACTATTATAGTGAGAAGGAAAGAAGAGCTCATAGTATTAACAAAGACTTCTCTGGAATCTCTGCTTTGAAATCAGAAGTTTGGAGGACTTGTGTATTTGACTTTTCTTGAAATCAAGACTTTATAAACAAATTCACACAAGTCAATTGGCTGCCTGAGTATTACCCAAAATGAATGGAGGCTTAGGGGAAAATGGTAAGGCCAACCAAAAAGAATTTTTTGAAAGTTATCTTCAAAGGAAAAAATTTTAAAAGATGCAGTATCATTGACTGAGAGAGAAGGCAGTCTGTTGACAAATAGAAAGGACAGAGAACATGGAATCCTTTTTATTTCCAAATTTTGCTCAAGGAGAATAACCATCCGATGGGAAAGAGTACACTAGCTATTTAATAGGAACACTGATAACCATCTATCCATGACTATGTCCGGAGGCAAGGTATGGGGTATGAGGAAAGGCTGCTAGAACTGAAACTGTTTATGCCTGAGTGGGTTATAGGGTACAAAATTGTCTTTTCATATGAGAAATGCTATCTTTTAGAAGAGGAGTTAGATATTTCTTTTTTAGATTGTACATGGAGGAGGAAAAGGGAGGGACAAGGGGTAATAGGAAGAAAACAGGGTCAAAGGAGAACAGTTTCAGGAAGTTTTAGCTGCTATGGTTCTTCCTCATACATAGCTTCCCACCCCTCAACATTTTACTGGATAAATTTTCAACATACATGAAAGTTGAAAGAATTTTTTAGTGAATGCCTATTTATGGTGAACTCACCACATAGATTCTACCATTACAGTTTACTGTACTTGGTTAACCATTCATTTACTCATCTATCCATCCCTCAATCCATTTTATCTTTTTGGATACATTTTAATGTTAATTATATATACTATTTTTGTGAACCACTGGGAAGATGATGCATCTTAACCCCGGAAGCTTTCTTAGGGAGGCTAATGGCTGTTTGCTGGTGAGACTGTAGTTGTGATTTCTGGGTAAATAAGGTGTTGGGGCATTTGAATTTTTCTGACTGCTACCTTACTAAGAAGTGTATTTCTCATTTTTATCTGGTGTACTCCACATACATACTGAAACAAAAATTTCAGGAACCAATATTTATCCATGTAAACTAAAAATAAAATCCTAAGCCTCTGAACACAACTCCTCTAGGCCAAAGGGACCCTAGAGAAACCTAAAAAACTGAGTTCTTGGCCATGATGGGATAGGAGGTCAGACATTTCTCATTAGCATGATGGTAAAATAGATATCATAAGACTGACAGAACAGACGCTGGAAATAAGACACCAAATTATAAATAGGACCTAAGGTCATGCCAGACATGTGTTAAGTCATACATCCCTACCATTAAAAATAAACAAGGTTTTGGGTGGTGCCTGTGGCTCAAAGGAGTAGGGCGCTGGCCCCATATACTGGAGATGCCAGGTTCAAACCTGGCCATGGTCAAAAACACTGCAAAAAAAAAAAAAAAAAAGGTTTTAACTGCTGTAAGATTTTTCTTTTTCTCTAGCAGCTAAGCAGGCACTGGCCTTGGTCTTGGGATGAGCAATATTAAAACAATATGCAGCTCACCACCAGACTGTAACTCCCTGCCACCCATTACAGAAACCTTAATTACAAATTTTGATTGGACTTGAGACTGGTAACTTTTCTCCTGGTAAGATGACTAACCAGAGACTGGGTCTGGCCACTTTCACACAGCCTTCATACTTGAGTTCCACTGTGTCCTGAAAGGAACTTTGATGTATAAGACCTAATTGTATTACATTTAAATGTTAAGTCTCCACCCCCAATTGAAAACAGGTTGTATGTTACATGCATGTTGTTCATGTATGCAGCAGGACCACCTTCATCAATATAGGTCCTCCTGTAATATGTTGAATATTACACTATGCCAATCCATTTAGCATAAATCCTTGTCCCCACTCCTTCCTCCTTCTGCCTACCAGAAGCTCCCCTCTTTAGCCTGATACAACAGCAACCTTACAGGCTATACCCATTTAGAAGAAATAAAGCTTTTCCAGATTTGTATGTCATGCGATTTTAAAGTTGACACCCTTTATATGTGTGAAATATGCTGATATTTTCTATTTTATTTCACTTTAAAAGATGCTTGTCATGATCTTCTAACTTGATTTCAAACTCATGGATTGAAATTCATCATTTGAAAATCAGTGTACTAGTCAACTTCCAAAAAGATTTTTATTTTAAAAAGAATCCTGTGGCGATTACTAGAGTTTTTCTTATCTTCTCAATTATCAGGAACCTGCTTTGAGTCTCAGCAGTACTTAGGATATATGGCATCAGGGCATGTATTATTAAGAGAAAAACATTAAATGCTTAGATGACCCAGTTCAAACATTCTTTAGGAGTAAGTTTACTAATTATTTTCACAAGCAGCAAGATAAAGAGATGAATTCATATATAGTAGTGTTCTGTTAAATAAGGCTATTGATGTCTGCCATAGTTCCAACAAAGTCGAGAAGAGGATCAAATGAGAAAATTAATGTAAAAGCACTTGGGAAACTAATGTTTTATTAATACTGTTATGTGATACCAGGAAGAGGGGGTTGCTGGGATCAAGCTCTAGGGAGGCAGTATTTCAGTATTTTTAAAACTCTCTGTTCTTATACAACGGTTACATTAACCTCTCCAAGCCCCAATCAGTACGCCTTGAAGAGAGACTCCCCTGTGACCTCGTTGGGGTCCGGCCCCCACATCCACCGCTCCGCTCCGTCGGCGCATGCTCAAGAGATGCTCCGGCCTCCTCGCAGGGTTGGGCCAAACTGGGAGGGCGGAGTTCAGGCCACGTGGGGTCTCGTGACGTCATCTCCGGGCGCCGAGGGTGACTGGACCTGTGGTGGGCTTCCAGGGCTCCGCGGCGTTGCAGGTTACATTCGCTGCATACCGGAGGGCGGAAGTGCAGGAGGGCTCGACTCCGACCTCCGCGCCGGTGCTTTCTGCGGCTGCGCGGGCTCTTCGGAGTCCTGCTCCCGCGCCTCCGCAGGACAGTGTGTCAGGCAGGCAGGCTGCACCGCCGCCCCACAGCTCCGCCGGAGCCGGGCATCTGAGCGTCTCCACTGGTGCGGAAGCCGGAGGGGGTGCTGGCGCTTCGGGTAGGGTGTGTGTGTGTGTGTGTGTCCCAGTGTGAGGAAATGCCTGGAGGCGGAGGGTTGGGGAGGGGCCGGGTAGGTGTGGTAAGAAGGAGGGTGAGTAGCTGGCTAGAGCAGCGCCCGCTGGGTTGCGACGGCGGTGAAGGTGGTTCCTCCGGGCAGAGGTGGGTGAGGTGGGGTTGGCGAAACGCCTCCCCTTGAGTCCTCAGGTCGGCTGGAGGGTGTGGCCTGTGCGGGCTCTCTCGGGGAATGTCTGTTCTTTACTAAGATAGGAAAACATAGAGTCGAATCGCAGACTCTAGAGTTCAGTTCAGGACTTGCGTTTTTCGTGGAACAGTTATTTAAGCCGCAATTGTTATACAGGGCAGTTCGATTCTATCCGAAGTCGGTGGGTATTTCCTCCAATTTATCTTCTTCTGGCATTCCTTGTCATGTTAATAATAATATTTAATGCTAACAATGTCATGTTCTGTTGGCAAAACACTTTCACATACTTTAGCTATACTTTGGATTATTTTCAAATCCTACGTGAACTTGAGGAACCTAGGAAACAGGATAGGTTTTAGATTTTTCTGGGGCGTGAAGTGATCCAGCATGTTTTCAGTAATCAGAACCTAGAGACATACCAGACAGCGGCTGAACATCCAAGGCCTTCCAAGAATTCATTTGTTAAATCTCTGAGACCTTGAGAGAGTATTTGGCTCTGAACTGAACTATTTGTAAATTCCATAGAGGCAGTTTTTGGTTGAATTTTTGGTTTTGGTTGAATAACTAGTCAGCCAATGGCCATTTGAAAATAAGAAAGTTGGGCTGAGGGTAGTACTTGAGAGGAATTTTACGCTATAGTTAAACATGTGCTTTGATCTTTAAAGATATGCTACTTAAAATTGGGAGAAATGAACAGAATGAGACTATAGATAAAGTATTTCAGAATAATGCACACACTTCAAGGGTGGGTTCATTTCATTAATTTCTAGGCACTGGACAAATAGTATACAAAAGAATGAACAGTGAACAGAACAATAAAAATCTCTACCATCATGAAGTTCATCTTGCGTTTGGGAGAGAAGACATTAATACAAAAATTAAAGTACTTTCATCCCTGAACCTTGATGTCCTGGAGGAGAGATTCTGGGACCTCCCTAGGATCATAATCCTCAAATACTCAACTCCCTGATATAAAAAGGGGTACTATTTGCATATAACCTCCACACATCTTCCTGTATACTTTAACTTATCACTAGATTGTTTCAACTACCTAATACAGTGTAAACAGTTGTCATATTGTATTGTTTAGCGAATAATGACAAGGGGAAAAGTCTGTACATGTTTAGTGCAGATTCCCTCCTCCCCAAGTATTTTCCATTGTTAACAGTTGAAAAAGAAGCATCACATTAAGAGAGACTTTATTTCTGAGAGCAGTTTGCAAACCAGGGAGATGTGCTCCCAGGAGAACACAGGGAGGGGTCACCCATTATAGAAAAAGTTCCTGCCTAGGTTCCCACTCTGGTTCACTATATAAATGAGGGATGCAAATGTGGTTAGTTCTGATTGGTTGATGTTAAGAGTGATTGTAGGTCTAGGTGATTAAATGGGACTTTCTATGAGCTCTGGGGCGCAGGAACAGACAAGTTATGAGAGTCCCAAAGTTTTGTTTTCTTCTGGGAGTGAAGAGTGCATGTGTGACCTCTGGTCAGCCAAGGGCCACTTGGCTCCATTTTGAATTTAGGCCAGTTAGCCACTCAGGATCCATCTTGAAGGATTGACTCTTTCAAAGTTCACACCATCCCTGGTTGGTTGAATTCAAAGATGCAGAATTCATGGTTATGGAGAGCTGATTGTGTATGTCAGGTGGTGAAAAGTTCTAGAGAGAAAACAGTAAAGCAATGAAGGAGAATGAGGAATGCTCGAGGTGTGGGTAGGAGATGCCAGTGATGGCCATAGAAAAGTTGGTATTTGAGCAGAGACCCAAAGATAATAAAGAGGGGTGCCGTGTGGAAAGACCCATTAGAACTACCACAGAGGCTCCAAGGCAAGGGCATACCATCTAGTTTGGCTGGCAAAGAATGAGCAAGGGAGAGGAGTAATAGATACTTAGGTGGGAATGGGTCCAGGTGATGTAGGGATTTCTAGGACTTAGTAAGAACTTTAGTTTTTTGAGATGGGATTTGCTTTGAGTGAGGTATGGAGTAAATATATCTAACTTACATTTTAAAGGATCTGTCTGATTGCTATGTTGACTGTGCAGCAGGGGCAGAAATAATGAGAGCTTTAGTAGGCCATTGCATTTATTTAGGTTAAAAGTCAAAGTGACTTGGATTAGGGTTTAATAGTGGAGATGATGTGAAATGACTAGATTCTAGACTTGTTTTGAAGCCAGAGCAGTTAGGTGGAAGAAGAGTCAGTCAGGATGACTCCAAGGTTTATGGCCTCAGCAACTAAAGAACAGAACTATTGCTTCGTGAAATGGGAAAGACCACAGAGTAATGTAACAGGAGGAGGTAATATCTGAAGTCATTTTTGGTTTTGCACATGTTAAATGTCAATATGTAGTGGTATATAGGAAACCAGTTCCGACGAGAAGACTGGACTGAAGATAAGAAAGTGGGAGTTGTAAATGTATAAATGGTATTTAAAACCTGGAGAGAGATCTCCAAGGGAGTGGTTCAAGGACTGAGACCTGGGGCATTTCAACGTTTAGAGGGACAGACCTCTTACAAAATTAGTACAGAATGCTCCATTCATCCCCCCTGGCTGGTGCTGTTCAGGAAAACCTGTTGGGAATCACTGATCCATAGTAACAGGGTAGAAGGAAATAGAAAGCAAGATCTTTAGCTGAGAGGATGAAAGGAGGCATGAAACTTTGAGGGAGGAGAGATATGGAATAGTGATGTGGGAAAGTGGAAGAATAAATGGGCTAGGGAAATGTAGGAACACGAGGCAGTACTTGGGGCCCAGTTTTGAGGTTTGTGTTCATTAATTTAAAAGGAGACCAGCCAGTATAGATTATTAATTTTAGACACATTTAGTAAGTATTTGATATTTCTAGGTGGTTGAGGATTTTTGTCAACAAAGATACCTTCAGGTAGTAGGTTAGTCTTCTTGATATGTAGTGTGAAATATACTGTGCCATTTGCTGAATGACTGATTGGTTAACAGTTGTTGTTGGTTAGGCATCTACTCTGCCCTAGGCCCTGAATTAAATGCAAGAAAAAGAACAGTCTAGAATAGCCCCTGCACTCAGGAATTTTACTTCCAGTAGATTGCATCATGGATTAGGATTTTTATGGATTTAAACCATTGCCTTCGAATTAGATGGATGATGGTGATGGAGAGGGACATTCTTTCTAAAATAACAAAATTTGCTGAATTTAAAGGCATGACTATTGATATGGCAGAGAGTTTAGGTGGAAAATTTCTGAAGTAGCTGGGTTTATATATTTTCTCCATCATTTAACAAAAATTCCATAGCTTACTATGTGCTAATTATGGTAATACTGGGAATGAGAAGATAAATGTGACTCAATATCTGCAGTCAAGGAACTCTCAGTTCAATGTTGGGAGGGACAAGAGGCAGATAAGATAAAAAGAAAACTGTGATACTGGTAGTAAGTGTTATTTATTAAAGGAATAATTAGACTGGAGACTGCTTAGGGCAGTGGTTTTCAACCTTCATAATGCCGTAACCCTTTATGTTGGGGCCGTAACCTTTTATGTGGGGACTCCCCAACCATAAAATTATTTTCGGATAGAGGAGTGGTGTCTCAGTTCCTAAGACCATCGGAAATATGTGTTTTCCAGTGGTCTTAGGTGACCCCTGTGAAAGGGTCATTCGACCCCAAAGGGGTCGGAACCCACAGGCTGAGAACCGCTGGCTTAGGGGAAAGCTTCCCAAGGAGCTGCTGATAAGCTGAATCTTTAAAGATTAAGAGTGACCAAGAGAGAATTAAATAGTTGGCCAGAAGAGGAAGGAAAGAGTGTTCAAGCAGAGGGACTGTGGAAACATGGTGAAGCTGTATATTAAATGTATACACCATTTATCTATAAAACCCCTAACAGCCCTGTGAAAGTTAGAATTGTCTTCATTTCACAGATAGGAGGTTCAGAGAGGATGGGTTTGTTGTTTATATATACATAACTAACAGGTGGAAGTCAGGGTTTAAACCCAGCTGAGTCTGATTTCAAAGCCCCTTAACTACCTTGCTGTATTGCCTGTTGTCAGTGTTTAAATCTACCTTGTCATTATTCTTTATCCCTCAATCATTTTTTACCAATTTCTATTCATTTTTCCTTGGAAATCTCATCTGTCTCTCACCAGTTCACTGACTCTATAGGTCAGGTGCTCTTTACTGTATGCCTTCGTTTCTGAAATTAACTTCCTGGTAGCTTCTCTGATTTGAGGCTCTCTTTCAGTGTACTGCTACCAGGAAATTGTTTTTGTTTCACTATTATAAAACTTTATAGGCTCTCTGGGCCTGGTTTATGAAATTGAGAGCCATAGTCTTCTATTTGGCATGTTTCATGATCCTGTCTCATTTTACATTTACAGATTGACATTAAAGAAATAATAATTGCATGCCTTTCTTAGCACTTAATGCACTTATGCATCCATTACTGTATCAAACACTTTATAGATTTTTTTCCTCAGAACAACCTTGTGACTTGGGTATTATCCGTTATATTCATAGGTAAAGAAATTGAGGCTTAGTGATGTAAGCCTAGGCTCACATGTTATATTTAAACATATTGTGACATCAGCTTTTTCATTACTACTACCAAATTTCCTAAAAGGTGGGTACATTTGTTACTCCTGCCCTCTTCCTGCATTTATTGATGCTATTTTGCCTAATCAGAATATTTGTCTGTCCATATTTATCCTTTCTTTAAGTTCCACATCTTCTAAAATTCTTCTTTGAACAATGTAGAATATATTAACATTTAATTCCCACTCTGTACCCCTTTTTGAAAGTTCTCACAAAGTAACAATTATACCGTGGACATAA